GCAATGAATGTACAAATGTGCTTTACACAATTGATGTATGTATGGATTGTGATAAGGGTTGTATGAGCCCCCAACAAACTGATTAAAAAGAAAAAAGAGGCCCCAATAAAATGATCTTTTATTTAAATAAATAAATAGAATTGCATGCAATAAACTCTTAAGCAACCCTAGTGGTGCCGTCAGGTAAGCATGGGAGTGTTACCTCACCGTGAGTTCAAAACCACCAGCCTCTCAGAGGGAGAAAGGTGAGACTGCTCCAGTGAAGATGTGCACCCTCTCCACCCCACAGACGTTCTAAATGAGCCAGAACCAGCTCCATGGCAGCGGGGTGCAGTGATATCTTAAACAAATAGGTTACAGGTTGGGCTGCTAACCACAAGGTCAGCAGTTCAACCCTCCCCAGCCACTCGGCCGGAGAAAGGTGAGACTGTGAGCGCTCATAAAAATGGGCAGCCTCAGAAATGCCCAGGGGCAGTTCTGCTCTGTCCATTAGGTTGTGAAGAGTGAGAATTGACTTGGTGACAATGGGTTTGTGGCTTTAGCCCAGTGTCACACAGACACTTTTCCCCATGCCTCCAGACAGTTCGTCAGCCTACTTTTTGCACCTAGGTTTGTGAAACACTTTGAGTTCGTTTTTGGTGTGAGGTGTGAATTACAGGCCAGAGTCATTTGGTTGAGCACAGACATCGAATCACTCCAATCCCATTTGCTGAAGCCACTGTCCTTTCTCCCTTGAGTGACCTTCACATCTTGGTCAAAGATCGTCGCTTCTAAAAGGCACAGTTTCCATAGTTTAACATTTCTGAAATCAGTGGCCTCTCCTAATTAGCAATAGGAATCTCCAATCACTCCCATGGAATCAATTCGAACTCACCGCGACCCTGAAAGGCGAGTAGAACTTCCCCTGTGGGTTTCCCAGACTGTAGCTCTTCCTGGGGGCTGAGAGTCCCGTCTTCCCCCCACTGACAACTTAGATTTTGTGAAATAGGTTATTATTCTCCAACGTTGTTTTCTGAAGGTAGACCAGCAGCCTGTGGATGCTGCCCATCAGAATCCATTCCTTTCTTTTCCCAAAGTGGCTACTGTAGTTAGGTGCCCTGGCACCGGTTCCGGCTCCTAGAGAGAGACCCCGTGTGCAGCAGAGTGAAATACGGCCACGTCCTGCGCCATCCTCGTGTTGAGTCTTCCTCTTCTCTGCTGCCCCTTTACCTTACCAAGCTTGATGTCCTTCTCGGGAGACTGTTCTCCACTAAGAACATGTCCAAAGTTAGTGAGGCGAAGTTTTGCCCAGGTGGGGTTGCGGGGAGAGGCCCTGCGGTATCAAGCAACACTGCGAGGGAGCTGGAGTCCCTGCCGGTCCTGGCGAAGCAGGGCTGCCTGCCAAAGCAAACAGCTTCCCTCAGGGGTGGGCACATGAGAGAGAAGTCACCCCCTGTTGGCTTTGAACCATTGTCTCTGGGGCTTTGGGGTAGTAGGGGGCATGTCGGCTACAGCAGAGGCTCATCGAATGCAAAAAGAGACACTGGATTAGCCTTGGCCTTAACTAATGTAAGAGCCAGGGGAGGTCCCCTCCCACCCACCCCCCTCCCGCTACTCCATAGGAATAACTGGCCCCTGCCAGCCCCTTGCCTGCTCTGCCCTCTTAGCAGATGATTTCCCTCTGGCCTTTGGATGTTCCGAACATTTTAACTTGCTTGTCTCGAATGATACAATACTTAACAGTTTTACTATTTATAGTTGATGCTCCTTGGTCCTTAAACATTGTCATCGATGACCACATTTAAGGGACAATTATCCACCACCTCAGACTCTGTGCAGCATGGGGAATGTGCTGTTGGGCTGGTTCCAGCTCACAGCCACACCACGTACGACAGACGGACACATTCCCAGGCCCGCCTCCCTCGCAATCATTGTAGCATGCATCCCTTGTTGACGCCACTGAGTGACTCTGTCTCACTGGGGGATCTTCCTCTCATTCACTGACCCTCTACCACGCATGATGGCAAAACAGCGGCATCAAGAGGACCCTCCTTTAAAGGCACGCCCCTCCTGTGCTCCGGAGCCCCTTGGGTGGTGCAAATGGGTGAGCACTTGGCCACCAACCACCCAGACCTGCCGTGGGAGAAAGACGTGGCCATGTGGTTCTGAAAGGTCCCCGCCATGGAAACCCCTCGGTACCAGTTGTACACTGAAGCACGTGGGGCCCCTGAGTCCGAATCTACCAGCCAGCATCTGATGGGGGGCGCCTTCTGTTGGTTTCCCCGCAGCAAACGCTGCCCGAGGATCTGAGCACAGTCTAGGTGGGGCGAATCCCTGGAAGCAGAAGCTGCAACCTTTCCACAGCCTCCCTCAATGAAGTATCACGTCGGCGTAACTCTCGTTCTCAGGCTCTTTCCCCACCTTGCCAAAATGCTTCTCCAGAAGGGGCTGAAGAAGGAGGTGGAGACAGAGGAAAGTGATCCTGTCGCACGCAAACATGAAGGAAAGGATGGCTGGCAGGCAGGCAGGCAGGGAGGGAGGGAGGGAGGGAGTAAGACTGGACGGAAATGAAGGCCGTCTGCAGATACGAACAACGCTGATCTCCCGTGGCCTCAGGACAGGATTCTGCAGCCTCCCTCTTACTTCCCTTTTTCCTGTCCTGGAAAATCATCTGAGTGGTTCCCCTCTCGGTTTTCCATATGACTAAGTCCCACGGGTCTTGTCCGATCAGACCTCTGGCCGCCTGGCTGCCTCTCCCCAGAGTCTCCAGCTCCTCAGAGCCCCGTGAGGCCTGTAGACCTGGGCACACTGCCCGCCCCCTCCCACCTTTCTTCCCCAACACCCACGCCAAGGAGACTCTCACGGGTTGTATGGCCAGGTGTGGGGGTGTCCTGGGGACCCCGGATGCCCAGGCAGCATGAAAGGACCCATCCGACTCCTGGCCTGTCTGGCCTGCATCATCCCAATGGGTGAGTTCCCCCACCATGTCCTCTGGCCCATGCTGGAGGAGAAGAAAAACGTAGCAAGTCTTGGGCACGGTCTTGTGCCCTTGAGCTGAGACAGCTTGAGTTTATCCGGAGCCTCCAGGACTGAAGAGGAGGAAGAGCTGGGCTTGGGGAGGCTGGGGCCCCGGGAGCCACACATTCAAGTTCAGGGTTTGCTTTGGGTTCCCAGGTGGCTATAGGCAGCCCCTGGTCTCTCCCTCAGCCACATGTCCCATAGCCGAGCTCATTGCTGTGGGAACCCAGGAGGACTGTGAACAGGAAGATGCCTTGAATGGTACAAATCTGAACAAAGATCAGATGTTACTGACACCGGAGGGCTCTGGGTTTGGGTGAGCAAGGGTGGGAGCAGTACATGACTTTAGGGGATGATTGGGGGCAAGGGAGGGCGCAATTTCATGTAGGGATAGAGGGCACCCTGCTCTCCCAGGAGGAGCCCCGAGGCAAGAATGGGAACTCTTTGTGACAGTCTTAAGTCACAAGGTGATCGGTCACTTAACCCCATGAATTGAAATGTCCCCCGGAACACTGTCTCTCCAAAGATGGTCATGGCCATCTCCATCAGAATCCCAGGGGAGGGGGCATTTGTTAACATGCAGGTTTTTGGGCTTCACCCCAGACTGCAGAATCAGAACATAGCAGACAGTGGGCCCCGGGAATCTGCATTTTCAACCCTCCTCTGGGGTGATGCAGACGCACAGTTGAGGGGGACTGGGATGGACAGCAGTGATCTTTCCAGCCCCGGGCCTTCCCTCATCGCCAGCCGGGAGCCCCTCTCATAACCAGCTCAGCCACCATGACACTGGCCACCATGTGCCTCAATGGAATGTGGCAGACACCATTGTGTCCCCAGCTCCAAGCCCATGTTGCATGGGGTCCAGTCTGCACACTGGACTGTAAACACCCGCACGTTCCGCTTCTTCCTTCCAGGAGCCCTGGTGGAACAGTGAGCTACGTACCAGTGGGGCTGAACCCACCAGCCACTCTGAGGGAGAGAGATGAGCCCCTCTGGTCTCATCCCTGGTGGCATAGTGGTTACCAGCTGGGCGGCCACCAATCCACAGTTTGAAACCACCAAACCACCAGCCACTCTTTGGGAGGACAGCTTTCTGCTGTGAAGAGATACAATCTCAGAACCTCACAGGGCACGTCTACCCTGTCCTGTGGGGAGCCTACGTGTCGGCAGCCACTCAGTGGCAGTGAGTTTGGTTTGGGGTGGGGCTGGGGTGGTTGCAGCTCCCATGCAGCCTCTGAAACCCACCAGGCTAGCTCTGCTTTGTCCTGCTGGGTCTCCGTGGGGTGAGTTGGGGCTTCCTTCCTCTGGAACGTTCAGCACAAGGAGGCAGTGGCGGCTGCTTCCTCGTTGCTGAGTCCCTGAGTGAGGATCGACTGGATGGCAGGAGCTTGGAGTTGGGGAACTCACGCTGACCTCGCAGGTGTATGAGATCCCCCTCTCACAGGTGAGGACCCTGAAGGGCAGGGAGATTAAGTGAGCGGTCCGGGTGGAAATGAGATTTGAACCTGGCTGTGTGTGACTCTGGGGTTCCCGGGTGGTGCTCCTGGCAAATAACTTCAGCTGAGAAACAAAAGGTTTGAGTTGACCCAGGGATGTCTACCCATTTGTTCCTCCAAAATCTCAGCCGTTTGAACCCCTCCGGAGCACAGTGATACCCCGACACATGGGGTGGGGTTCCCCAGGAGTCAGAACCCAGGTAACGCAACTGGCTGGCCTAGACCTCACCCCACGGCACACCACTGGCCCAGGGCTTACTGTCTCCTCCTAACCTGACCGAACCTGAGGAGACTCGGAGTGGCTCCCAGTCAGACCCTGGGGGCTAGAGGTGGTGGTCCAGCCCAGAACAGCGATGGCAGACAGGAGAGCAGTTAAGGGCCCGAGGGTGGAGTCCTGGCTCAGCCATTTACTAGCTGTGTGGCGCCTGGTAGGTTGCTTGACTTCTCCCAGCCCCATAACTGGGAGTCGTCAGTGCCACCCTAGGGCGAGGCTGGAGGGATTCTCAGCTTGAGCAGGTAAGACGCCATGTCCCTGGTGCTCAGCACAGCCCACAGCTCTGGGAAAGGCAAGGCCCTGTGGTGCTTCCGTTCAATTTGTGGTCCATCTGCTGTGGCGAGCCCATCAATGACAAAAAGATGGAGATGAAGAAGGAGCCCTATGTTCAAGAGCCAAAAGTAAACCCACAAATGCTCCAGCTAGGTGTCAAGAGGACCCAGGGGAAGGCAGAGCCATGGACGGCCCGCCCACAGATGTCAGCACAGCATCGCCCTGGGGCTGACCCAAGGCCCTGAAACAGAGGGGGGAACACGGGTCTAGACCAGCCAGTTGTGTTGTCTGATGTCTCCTGGCGACAACAAGTGTGTCAGAGTAGAACTGTGCTCCAAAGAGTTGTTACTGGCTGGGGTTTCACATAGGTAGAATCTACACACACGCACACGCACACACACACACCCCACCCCAGCCCCCCTTAGCTTGACTCCACACTGTGAGACCCTTGGGAGGGCTGCGGGAGCTAATGTAGGAGCTGCAGGTCACAGTCATTGTTCGGGGAGCATCTCTGAGGGTGGGGTCTGGGGCACCCCTTTGCCAAAGGAGAAGCAGGAGAGATATCTGTCCCAGCCTCTCCCTCCTGGTGCCAACCCCTAATTTTTGTTAGAACACATTGAAGGGTGAAGGCACCTGGGGCTTATATGGAGAGTCTGGCAAATGGCTGTGTGGGACCATCGAGGCACAGGTGTGACACACAGGGTAGTTAGGCACTCCTCATGAGCACCTGAAATCCTCTGGGGGCAAGGATGACTCAGTGGTTGAATTCTCGACTTCCACGTGGGAGACGCAGGTTTGATTCCCAGCCAATACACGCATGCAAAGCCACCCACTGCCTGTCGGTGGAGGCTTGCATGAGGATATGATGCCGGATGGGTTTCTGTTGAGCTTCGAGGCTAAGCTGAACTAGGAAGAAAGGCCTGAAGATCTACAGAGATAAGGAACGAAGATATCGCTACGGAAGCATAGAAGCCTTCATTCGACAAAACATCAGGACGGGAAGCTGTTATTTCTTGACATATCCTCCATCTAGATCTATACCCTTCTGAAGGCAGTGTGTCCATCTGTCTAGCCCTTCCCCAAAGGAGTCCTGGTGGCACAGTGGGTGAAGCAATGGGCCGCTGACCTGTCAGCTGTGCTGAGAGAAGGATGAAGCCGCCTGTAAAAGTCTGCAGGCGCAGAAGCCCTCGGAGCCGTGGTGTTCTCTCGGGCAGGGTGGCCCTGAGTCGGGAGGGACTCGGACAGCACTGCGTTTGGTTTGGTTTGGTGTGGTTTGGTCTGGTCTGGTCTGGTTTGGTTTGGCTTGTGTTAACCCTCCTCCCCAAAGAATTCTTCGCGCTTCAGTTTGCACCGTATCTAACTGGCCCTTTTGGCAGCTTCGAGGGATTCAAGGTGAAGTCCCTTTGCATCTGGGGCACAGAAAGAAGTCTGAGAGGGCAAGGTCGGCTCTGCAGGTGGATGTGGTAAGGTTTCCCAAAGCGGTCCTCATCAGACAGCACTTGCTGTTGAAGAAGGAGCGGGCTCGTCGCTGAGGAAAAGCACTTCCTCCCTGCAGCGGTCCGGGCCATGTTCCCACCAGGGCAGTTTCCAGAAGTCCCCATGGTTGCCCTGTGTCCTCGGAGAAAATCCATCAAGATGATCCCTTTGGAATCCAAAAAAATGTTGCCATAACCTTCTGAGCTGCCTCTCTGCCTGGAACAGCACAGCCGGCACATCCGCTGTTTGGATTGGACCTGACAAGACTAGGACAAGCCTCAGTGTCTGCAGCCACCCACTGATCGCAGAGACGTGGCAAACGGGTTTTGTTTGAATAAACCCGTGTGTGTGTGTGTGTGTGTGTGTGTGTGTGTGTGTGTTTGTAGAGAAAGAGAACTGGGACCCCGGTAGCAGTACTTTTGACTCACCTTTATACTTTTTTTTTTCTTCTTCAGTTCTTTTTTTTTTTTCATTAATCAATTTATTGGGGCTCATACAATTCATCACAATACATAGATAAATTGTGTAAAGCACATCTATACATTTGTTGCCCTCATTATCACCTTTATACTTTTAAAATCAACCTAGGAAACCTGTATGGATCACAACATCAGCTCATCCAACATCATGTTGCAAGATGAGCCTCCTAGGCCAGAAGGCATGACACAACACAAGTGTCCAATCGGCAGCCACGCCTGGGGATGGTAGAGGCCTGAGCAGCGCTTTGTCCACTCCCAGGGGGTCCCCATCAGTTAGGGGCTGGCTTGAGGGCAGCACACAACAGTAAGCAACAACAGGCTTTTATTTCTGTTTCTAAAATCGATCGATCTTGAAATGTTTTTTGGTTTTTTACTATGAATTTGATGGCATTCCTCTTCAGCTTGTCCCTCCTAGCACAGTACACCATGTGGTTGTCCATTTCAGCCCACTCATGCCTCGGATATGGATCTTCACGAGTTCCAGTTCATTTCTGACTCTCAATTTTCCCAGACTCATACTTCATACATTCCACGTTCCAGTTCTTAATGGACGTTCATAGCTGATCATCCTCATTTTGAGTTGAGTCTCATTGGCAAATGAAGGTCAAGAAAGCTTGATTCCGTCCACCTCATTAAGATCAGCTCTACTCTGAAGCACCAGCTTGTGCCCAGTGGCATGTTGAATGCCCTTCAGCCTGAGGGGGTCATCTTCTGGCACTGCATCAGACAACGCTCCACTGGTTTTGCTAAGAAGGTCAAGAGTGGGTCACGTTCTCCTGCGTCACAGTCTGTCTTAGTCTGGAAGCTTTACTCAAACACCACGGATCCCTCTGCTGGTTTTGAAAATCCTGGTGGCATACCATCTAGCCACAGGGCAGCACACTCACCACCACAATATGATAAACTGACAGACGCATGGTGGTCCGCTGTGATCCACTTCCCTTCTGCCTGGT